CAATCTCCGTCACTGCGCCATCCTCCTGCCCCCTCTTCTGTCCAGCCTTATTCTTCGTGTCTCTCATGTTACTAGAGGGTGGGGTAATTTTGGAGCTAGGAAGTGATCTGCAGCAAGAAGGACTAATGTCAGACTTAGAAAAGAACCTGGATGGCCTAGTGAAATGAGCTGAGGGTTGATTAAAGATATGGTGAGGGCTGTGGGCCAAGGGCACAGGGTCTGAGGTCAGGGGGGGCAGGCACAAGGTGCTGAGGCTACCTCCTCCCCACCCTATGGCCAGATATTTTTAGACTTTCCTGTAGCTGAGTAATTTCTCTGATTTGGAGCCAGAGCTGGGGTTGGGGATGAGAAACTGATGGGAGATGTCCAGACTACCCTGAAGGACACCTAGAACACTGGGGTCCTCAACCTAGCTGGGAGGAAGTCCCTCTCAGCTCTAGTCCATATCCTTTAGGCTATATTTTTAGCCTGCAACTGTTTTCTCCCCCAGGGACCCAGGATACCCTGGCTTCCTCTTCCCAGCTTAACCCCCCTCAAGGACAAGAATCAATGGGCCCCAATCCGCTTTAGCTGCAGATTAAACTGAAAGGCAGAAACTGCAAAAGACATGGAGAAATGGAGAGACCAGGATGAGAAAATAAAAACCCAGAGAGGGGACACAGACCTAAATCAGGGGGGACAAGAGATGCAGGGAAGAGGAGAGACCCAGAAAAAGGACAGGACTTAGTGACTGAAGGAGATCTAGTGAGAACAATGGCCAGAGAATCTGAGAGGCGAACAGAAACAGAGATCTAGGGAGGAGGAGAGACTCAAGAAAGAGTAGAGCAGAGATCCAGAAAAAGAGGGGGAACAGAGACCCAGAGATAAATGGGAGTAGAGACTCAGAGAAAAGGGTACAGAGATCCAGAGAAAGGGAGCAGAGAGACCCAGAAAGATAGGTGGGTGGGGGAAGGGATCAGAGACCCACAGAGAGAGGGACATCCCCAGTCCCAGAGAAAAGAGTAGAGCTTTCTGTGGGGCAGGGTGCAGAAAAATGATCCAGATAATGGACAAGACTGGACCAGGGAGAAGGCACCGTCGGAGCTCAAGGGAGAAAACTGGACAAATGGGCGGACCCCCCCATGCCAGAGTGTGGCCTGTCCATCTGTCCATCTGTGCCTAGGTAGTAATGACAGCCCTCCTTGGATCTTTATACTCTTCCCCTCCCAGGACCCCCACCAGGCTCACCGGTGCAGCTTCCCCAGAGCACGACCCGCTAGCTTCCGAAACTCCTCCTGGCGGAACTCCATGGTGTCTGCCCCTGCCCTTGGTCCTCCCGCCGATCCCCCCGCCCGCGGGCCCGGGCGGCCGCGTCCGGTTACCGGGGTCTGCCCCGGCCCGGCCGGCCCCGCAGCTCCGCTCGGGGGGAAAGAGGCTGTGAGTGCCGGCTGCTGGGGGGCTGTCACTGGACTCAGCCCCGGAGGTGGGGCGGGGCGGGGCGGGGCGGGGCGCTCAGAGGCCCCTCCCCTCCCCCAACAGACTCCTCCCCTTGTGTGCTAGTCCCACCCCTTTTGCAGCCCTCCCATCCTCCTGTCCCTGCCCGTCCACCCTAAGACTTTGAGTTCTGAACTCACTTTTTGGAGTCGCATCGCCCTCCAATTCTGTCCCTTCCCTAGTTACTTACTCCTATTCCATCCCCCCAGCACCTTCTATCCAGATTTACTTTCCTCTCCTGAGTTCTCATTCCCATCTGAGATTTGCCTCCCCACTTCATTTCGTCCTCGCATTTTCTTCCCTTACAATTCCATCTTCCTCTGTGTTTCCTTCTGCATTTCTTCCCCCAGTCCTATCCGTCCTAATTTTTGTGCCCGCCAGTTTCCATTGCCCCTCAACCTTTGGAGACACACACCCCCCCACCACTCCCCATCCCTCATTAGCACCAGTTCCAATGTTCTCATTCAGGGAGTTCTTTCCTCCTCAATTCCAACTCCTACTTCTACTCACCCAGGGTCCTCCGCTAGTCCCTCCTCTCACCCTTGAGATCCCATCCACTTTTGAACTCCCATCTTTCCCCTTTTGAATTACAAACCCCACCAATTCTATTTTCCCTCTGAGCTCGTCCCTCCTCCCCGCTCCTTCTCTCCCTGAGTTTCATCCCCCCTCCCCCTTTTTCCTTCCCTCTGAGTTCCATTCCTTGCAGTTATAGTTCCCCCCCCCCCAGTTCCCAGTTTTGACCCCGCAGACTCGTCCCCACTCTTTTTTCCCCCACTCCTCTGGGATATGTCCGTGCTCCTGCTTGGAATCCTCCCCCCCACACACACCCCACCCAGCTCCCTTGAATCTATTCTGTTCTTCTGATCCCACTCTGAATTCTGTCTCAAAACCCTAGGATATAGACCCGCCTTCTGCATTCTGTCTGCTTCCTGGAGATTTGTCCCTGCTCTGGATTCTGCCCCTTGCCAGATCTGTCCCCGCTCATTGAGTACTCTGGGCTTTCGCCGGGTAGTGTCGCCTCCCATTAGGATCGTTCCCCGCCCTCTGAGTCTGTCCCCACCCCTCTCCAGCCCCGCCTCTCTAGAAATCCCAGACGCTTCCCGGTCCCTGGCCAGCGGTCCGGTCCTACCCCGCCCTTTTCTCCAGACCAGCCCTGTTCCCCAGCGCTGAATCCACCTCCAGGTCCAGGCCCCGGGAGGGCGCCCCTTTAGCCACTGCCTCTCGCGTCGGCCTAAAATGCATTTGGTATTAAATTTTCATGATGCGGCGGGCGAGGGTGTGGGAGGAGCAGACGGTGAGGCGGGCGGGCGCCAAGGACTGGGGCCCAGGAAGCCACCGACCGCTGCAGCCTCTCGCCTCCAGCTTTGACTGTTTTAGTCTCTGGGTCGCTCCATTTTGTTTATGTTTGAGAAAGCTCCGGGTACCCAGAGAGGAGGAGTCTGCGGGCCTGGACCTCTTGGTCTGAGGGGTGAGGGTCCATATTCCTGATTCTAAGGGAGGAGTAGCCAAAGGCGCCGTCCACACGCGCCACCCTGTGGCAGCAGAATCCCGGGCCTGGGTGCGGAGGCGGTGGCCGTGGCTCTGGGCCAGGTGTGAGGGTGGAGCAGATGGTGAAGAGGAGGGAGTGGGAAGAGGGCCCCGCCGCTGCCAAAACCTGGGCCTTCGCCGGAACCATCACCATGGAAACCGGGGAAGGAAGAAAAGACCCAGACTCTCACTTTTTTGGGACTTGGGAACTGGTTATTCGCAGCGGTTCACACGGAGAATCCCCTCCAAACTACAAGTCCCAGCGGCCGCTGGACCTCACCGCTTGTTAGAGAAGGGCCGCATACTCCGAAAGCTCCTGGGAGATGTAGTTCTCTGAGACAACGTCCTGAGGCTAGCTTGCGCTCTCTGGTGGACACGGTGCCCACCTTTGCTCATCCAGACAGGCTCTACTTGATGTCACCCACCACCCCGCCTTTCTTTCTTTCCTTCTTTTTTTTTTTTTTTTTTTGAGGCAGTCTCATTCTATCGCCCTGGGTTGAATGCCGTCCTGTCATAGCTCAGAGGAACCTGAAACTCGGCCTCAAGGCATGGATCCTCCTGCCTCAGCCTCCCAGGTAGCTGGCACTACAGGCGCCTGCCACCTCCTCCTGCTAGTTTTTCTATTTTTAGTAGAGATGAGGTCTTGCTCTTGCTCAAACTCAAGCTCCTGAGCTCACATGATCCACCTGCTTCATCCTCCCAGAACGCTGGGATTACGGATAAGAGCCACTGCCCTCTTTCTAACCTTGCCACAACCCACTCTCCTCTCACTCCCAATTTGCTCAGTTCCACGATGGCCTACTCGCTGTTCTTTCAACATTTCTCACTGAGGTTCCTCCATATACTTATCTTCCTACAACTCACTAAGAAAGGGGAAGGTGTTGACAATTATTCATTAACTCAAGAAGTGTCTGAGTTCCTACTTTGTGCGAGGCATCCTCCTGCCAGAGGAGCCATAACATAGCTTTTGATACTTGAGTACTGGGGACCACCAAAGGAGGAGGATCTAAGTCAACCAAGGAAGATCAGAGAAAGAATGAAATTTGAAAAGTTTTCCAGCTCGGCGCCTGTAGCTCAAGTCAGCCACATATATCAGAGCTGGCGGGTTCAAATCCAGCCCATGCCTGCTAAACAACAACTACAACCAAAAAATAGCTGGGCGTTGTGGTGGGTGCCTGTAGTCCCAACTACTTGGGAGGCTGAGGTAAGAGAATCACTTAAGCCCAGGAGTTGGAGGTTGCTGTGAGCTGTGATGCCACATCACTCTACCCATGACAACAGCTTGAGGCTCTGTCTCAAAAAAAATAAAAAAGAAAGAAAAGTTTTCTAGGGAAAGTTTGGCAAAAGCAATGGAGCTCTGGTAAAGGTAGGAATAGAGTGAGCAGAGTGTACACAGCAGAAGAAACAGCACTTGCACAGCCAGGTTGTTTGAGGCTCTGTGTTGAGTTTGGTGTGATTGTGATGTGAAGCAGGATTCCAGGATGGGGCCACCTGCCAGAGTGATGGAGAGGCTGGGGATCACATCACTGAAGGGGTCAGGAAGCACCCTCTTGAGAGGGCAACCACTGTACAAGAGCTGAAGATATTTAGAGGTGTCCTGGGCAGATGTACCAGAGACAGGGACTAAGTGTAAGGAACAGTAAAAACTAAAAGATGTGAAAAAATAGGTGTGGTCAGGACACTGTTCAGTGTGACTGAACCCCAGTGAGAACAGAAGTCAAAGGAGGTATGGGGGGAGCCTTGAAGGCCCCGCTGAGGGGCTCTGGCCTTCTCCTAGGAGTACTGGGGAGCCACATGGAAGCTATGCAATGGAAAAAAGCAGGTCAGCTCTGAGGGCTTGGGGAGGACTAATGAGGAGAGAGACTGGAGGATCCAGGGGAAAAGGAGAATGCTGACTTACAGCAGTGACCTCTATGGGATTCTAGGGCCACAGCCCAATGCCCCTCTTCCTTTTCACTCCCCACATACCACTCCCCACATACCACTAGCCAAAACAGAACAAAGGCAAAAATCTTTTATTTCAATTTTAGGGAAGCCACAAGCCTCTTCTCTACATCTGGAAGCACAGGGACACGCCCTGGTCAGGAAGGCACAGACAGAAGGGGCATGGCCACCATCAATTGCTAAGGAGAGAGAAGAAAGAGAATGAAGATTCAAGAACTAGAAGAAAAGTCCCCACCCTCCACCTCAGATCCAAGAGTCTGGGCCCACTATTGTCCCATTTCCCCTCCCTTTCCCCCCAGGTACCTTTCTCTTCTGGTGGAAGGCTGCCTTGCTCTCATCAGAGTTGATCCGCAGGGGGATGTAGACATCTAGATGATACAGCTGCTGGGGGCCCCTCATCACCAGGTGGTTCTCCCCAATCTCTAGTGACAGCCCCAGTGCTCCATTCTGGGGATGTGGTAGAATCAGCCCACCCTCCCCAATAACACAAAAATATCATGGACCAGGTATAGTAGCCTCACATGCTAGAAAACTATATTTAAAGGATGTAATCTCCCAGGAAAAAGGCAGAGAGCAGTGATTACAAGTTCCAGTGACCAAGCACTTACAATCCCTTGGGCACTGTAGGACAGCACTAGAGGATAGGCCTTTCGGCCTGATGGGACAGAGGAAACAGCTTACACAAGTCTGACAATAGCTCCTCATCATTCTCCCACTCTCCTTCAAAAACAGGCCCCAGGCCATACCAGACATTCTCCCTCTCTCATTCAGTGTGTGCTCACCAGTTTGGGGAGGTCAATTTCTGCCAACAGGAGGTCAGGGGCTTCCATCCAGAGGGTCAGGTGAGGCTTCTCAGGGCTGAGGAAGAACAAGGGCTACGTCTTTGCCAGTGCTGCTCCCTCTGCCTGCCATGCTGTTCCCTTTCTCCCTCCAACCAGCCTACTGCCTCAGGACATCTACCCAGTGAGCCTCCCCAGACAGTTCTTTCTCACCTCAGGGCATCACCAGGTGGGTATCAAGGACTGAAAGTGGGATTCAGAAGGGCGCTGGGGTGACATTAGACAGGGGATCCACTGCAGGCTTACCCTTCGTCATCTTTCCTGGAATCGGGCATAGACAGGTTTCCCAGTTCCTGGATTCGAGGACGCTGCTGGGAACGGATATTCTGCTGGGAGATGGAACCCAGGAAAGTCCGGTTCTTCAACATGCGCCATTCTGAGAGTTGGGAGTGCAGAGTCAAAGATCACACAGGTCAAGGTTCCCTTTGCCTTCTCAGAAGGTCTTGCACAGCCAAGGGACTCCAGGAGAGGCTCGGCCCCTACCTGAATGCCCAGGGTCTAACCACACAGCCCTGGGCTTGGGCTCCACCATAGCCCCACCCTTCCCATGACATACCCCAGTAAAATCCACCCTTCAAGAAGCTCTTAGCTCTGCCTCTCCCAGGTGGCCCAGACTCCACCCCTTGTCTGGAATCCCAAGCCTGGCCCTGCCCGCTCATCTGTGGAGGCTCTACCCATCCCTGGAACTGCAGCCTTTAATACAGGAGCTAAGAAAATCCCAGCCCAAGTTAACTCCACCTCCTACAGGTGTCCCCCAAACCGCATCAGGCTGCACTCCTTCCCAATGGCATAGGCCCTCACCTGGATTCAGCTGCAAGCTGTATTTATCCTCAAGGCCCTCCCTGGCAATGGTGACCACAAGCTCCCGCAAGAAATCGCTGTTCTAGGAGAGAAGAGAGGCAGTGGGGCTGGGGGTATGAAGGAAGAGACCCTTGCCCAGGTCTCACCCACAGCCCCACCCCCAACCTGCATCCTCCTGTAGAAGTCACTGTTGACAGCTACATCGTAGGCGGTACAGCCCTGGCCTTCTGTGGGGAGAGAAATGAGATGAGACCCGCAGCCCAGACACGGAAAAAACATACAGGGCCAGCAACTACAAGAACCAAGGACACGGCTTGGTGCTTATAGCTCAACCAGCTAAGGCGCCAGCCACGTACACCTAAGGTGGTGGGTTCGAATCCCCAGCCCGGACCCGCCAAACAACAATGACGGCTGCA